ACCAACAAGGCCAGATTTGGACATTTTTCAGATCTTTTATGATCCGATAGAGAAAGCCAACTTTGGGAGATAACACCACAAATAATGTGCAGTGGGAATTCCGGAAAGAGCGAGCACCAGAGCCTTCTTTTGCAGATATTTCCTTAACCAAAACGAATATGGATATAAAACTTATATCAATGGAAAGAGGACCATGCGACCTTTCTGATGCAACCAAACTGGCCAAATGTGAGGAATTTTCATGTCTTTTATGATGAATCATATGGAAGCGTGGGAACACGTTCAGTAAAGTGCAGACAAATGGAAAATTACAGAAAGTAGTAAATTAGTACGATAAGAACTTTTGTCTTCTTTCGTGGTTATTTTGCTAACTAAAACGAATATTCATATCAAATTTATATTACTTTGTAGAGGAACATCTGTCCTTTGAGGTGGCCAGATTTGGACAATTTTTAGATCTTTTATGATCCCATATAGGGAGACAACTTTGGCGGAAACTAGACCAATAATGTGTAGTCGAAGCGGGAATTGCAGAAAAATAGCAAGCAACAGATCATTCTTCTGAAGATAATTTCAGATCTTTCAAGATGCATTATAGGAAGCCTACTTTGGTGGGAACGGCACAAATAATGTGCAGACAAGGTGGCAATTCCGGCAAAATATCGAGTAGCAGAACCTTCTTTCGCAGATATTTTCCTAACTAAAATGAATATGGATATAAAGCTTATATCAATGAAAAGAGGAGCATTCAATCTTTCAGATGCCACCAAGATGGCCAGATTTAGACGATTTCCAGATTTTTTATGATCTGATTTAGGAAACTAGATCAATAATGTGTAGTCGAAGCGGGAATTCCAGAAAAATAGCGACCACCAGAAAAAGTCGTTCTGCAGCACTAGGTGAGCAATGTCGAGTGAAACCTCTAAATGCGTCATTTAAAGGAGGATGTATTTATCACATCACTTCGATGACCAACCACTGTTCTTACATCACAGTGTTAACGAGGTAGGAAGAACTTTACTCTGCAGTTCGCTCACACGCCAGCAGTGAAAAGCGCTCAAAAATGTCTGGCACTGGTTATTAAGCGACATGATCAACGTTATCTAAACCTCAGTCATTCTGTTTAGAGCTACCAGGATTAAAATTAAGGGATCCTCAGGGGTTAAATGGGAGGTAGTTTGAAAACGTGGAGTTCGTCTTCCTCATTATAGGAACAGGGTGCTAAAGGTAATGAACACGAACCTTTATGCAAAAATAAATTTTTGTGCAGCGAAGTTTCCCGTTTCTCTTCTTTATGTTAATTAGGTTAATTTTGACAGATTTTAAACAAGAAACATGTCTACACCCCAAACTAAACCTCGAGTTGATGTGATATTTCCCGATGGAGGCTTGTCAACTATACGATTCAGATTCACAAACCCATTCTTTTTACCCGAGTTCGGCGAAAGACGACCGCATCACGCCATTTTGTTTCACGTCTGACTACCCACCCAGCTGCTGTGGATCTAGTGAATTCCATTTTTAAAAAAGGTCATGTGGGCCAAGGAACCAGACTACATGTGCTCATTCGTCATCGTTCACAGCTCTTCGTTGCGTCATATATGCTGCTGTTTTACCACATAAGACCTATTCAAGAATCAAAGCTTCCCTCTTTCTTTCTGATTTGAAAGAGGACATTACCGCCAACTTATTCAGATATGTTATTATTGTTCTATTATTCTTTTACCCAGGGTAAATCCAAACAGCCGAAGCTGATTTCCATTGGAGCCCAGCAATTATAAAACTAAGATTTAAAAAGGGTAAACAAAGGTCAGGATTTGAATTAAATCTGAACATAAAAAACAGTTAAACATATAATACTCGAAACAATTAAACTAAAATTAATAATAGTAATAGAAATGTACATGGGAAAATAATAAACAAAAGCTAATCAGGGTAACATTTAATCTAAGGTACTAAAGAAAAAAGAACTGAAAACACAGGTACATATTTTAATTTAAAACAAATTGTTTTGAAAAGGTAGACTTTTATTTCCTCATTGTAGGTACAGAGTGCTAAAGGTTTACCTTTACAAAGGGCACAGTATCTTTGTCAGCTTGCATCCCGTCAGGCAACCATAGGGCAAACTTAGTTGTTCTTGGTGACATCATCGATTTTTTTCCTGTGTGATTCCCCTTCCAACTGATGACTGATAATTCTCCATTTCCCTGATTCTGTCCGACGGCAATTGATCTTTTCTTTGTCATAGTGATGAACACGTCAACAACTTCCGAGGAAGGATAGGCCTATGCGTCAGCAAATGCGTTTCATTTTACACCAATGCTCATACTACTCACTTCTTTGGAGTGTTTGTGAGTCCGTGGCAAGTCAGCTACATGTAGCTGACGACTGCAGTGGTGGTCAGCTGCTATTACAGGGCGGGCGAGGTGGACTCATGCACAGCTGCTGCAAGGGAAGGAAGTTGCGTCAGTTCCCTACCATTTCAAACAGAACCAGGCGTTTGTTCTCCTGAACTCATGGACGGAAATATCTCTTTAGCCGACGAATTTGTCTGCTTTTGAGTCTAATGTCACACATATATGACCAGTTCATAGTTGAGAGCTGTCGACACTTCTTTGTGTTTTCGTGTAACTTCAGACGGGCGAGCCAGCGCGCTGCTCAATGCTGCTCTTCACCGCTCAAAGAAAAGGCACGTGCTGATCGTCTCACCTATGTCAATCACTGTTGCTTCTCCAGAGCCAAATTCCATTCCCACTCCGAGTGTGTTGAAGAATTTATGAAATCAGCGCTTGTAAAAGACAGCTCTTACGCTAATGTTTAAAGAATTTAAAGCGTAACTGTTGGACAAAAACGTCAATGGCCCTCAATTCTGAATGGGGACTAAAGTGCATTTTAGGGCATATAGACGTGTAGATTTACCAGGAAAAGGGCCGTGGACTGGTTCCCATCCCCCAATGTTGGCACTTTCAATTGAAGTTTTAAATATGTTGAAATACATAGTAACGCCTGGGACAAATTCCTATGTGTTGCATGGTTGTGCGGTGTGGAGTTTATAGAAGTTGACACAATGACATTACTTTACGATAATTGATTTGAATAGGTGATGGCACTGCTTTTTCTAATCGGTGCCCAGATATTACAATTTCATTTCAATGCAATGAAATGAGTCAGATCGAAAGACTTTCCCCTGTTTGGCCTGAGTCTTTTGAGAAATGGAAGGGTAGGGACGTGTGAGCACAGGGAAGGCCCACAGAAGGAGTTGCAACTCTGGCGCTTCAAAGTGCTCGATGATCGTCGCCACCAGGTCAGGCGAATAATAGAAAACATTCTAAAAATGCCTGTATTACTACCTGCAGCTTAGCTGGAAAAGCAGGGCCAGTAATATCCAAGTAACTTGTAGCGTTTTGCTTGCAATGTTTTCTGTGACAAGGGAAATAGAGATTGGAAAATCCCTGATGTTAGACCTACTTTTGCTATTGTGAATAAACTTTTCTTTTTTTTTATTTTGATGCACTGTCCCATTATCCATGCAAGGTTTGTAATTTTATTCTTACATCAGTTTTCGAAGACTTGGCACTAATTTGGCTGAAACTGGCCGACAAAATGTAGACTTCTACTAGAAAGCTAAGGAACAATTCGTGCGCTATTTTATCACAAAGAGTAGGCCTAATCGTGAGATCTCGTAAAAGACACTTTAATACAAACGCCATAATGAAACAGATTCAAACGAAAGAACAGATCTTTTGACAACGTGGCGCTATTTATTTCCGAAATAACTCCAGAACCAAGTGTTCATCAACGGGCAATAACTGCAGATGTACATTTCGGTCACACCACTTAACACAAGCACATGCGCAAGCATGAAACTTGATGTTGTTATGAGATCTTACCACGCAGGACATGTCAGAAAGCGGTAATTGTCCAGATGTTATCGCCTGGGCTGAAACTCCTTCTGTGTCGTTCCTCTGTGGTGTGAGCAGAACGCACTTTTCAGTTTAGGGCCTATTAATATTCGTAGTTTTAACTTCAACTTGACATGAAGATGCATATTTGTGTTTTGTTCGATACAAAATATACATTAAATGTCACGTTGGCCCTAATAATGTTTCTGACCCTCTGACTGGCTCACCCTCCATTGTGAATGGGGGGTCGGGGGATTGAACAAAAAAAGCCCTAAATTAATTGCCCTAGAGGACGGAGGAACCTCAGAGGGGACGTATACCACATTACACCGCTAAGGCTCTTGCCAGTGTGGGCTTACTGTTTGTTCTCTATATTCCGCTATTGGAAAGTGCAAATTAGTCACCCATTTCCTGCCCACTGGTGTGTCTGCAGTGGCCGGGATCAAGGGTAGGGGGTGGGGATCAACCCCTCTGCTTTGACACCGTAAACAAAAAGAATGAATAAAACGGAAATAAAATGAATGAAATAAACAAAATGCAATTACGTATATTAATAATTTTTGTTAATTAAGGTAACATCCTGAAATTGTTATTATTTGTACACCAGCAGAATGTAATCACTATTGGTCCTTATATTACCCATGTGTCCGCCCGGTTCACAAAAATCGAGCTTCAAAGAACTAGGAAGGACCTACCCCCCCCCTGGAAAAAAAGCAATTCCAGGATTTGCCCCAGCTGTGTATTTGTCCGGAAGTTGTTGAATATAGCTCGCGACGTAGGCTGACTGGAACTGGAATGTTGCCAAATGTATCCCAGCCCCCCCCCCCCCTACCGCGGCACAGTGATCCGTACATGTTGGATGCAAAATTACAAATGCCTTCAACAGCCCCTCAAGGTACAAACCTTTGCACTGCCTTGGTTGGCAGCTCCGCAACAGCAAACTAACTTAAATTGCAGTTCTTGTAGCATCTCGGAAAAAAAAACCACTAACCCCCCTCACGTGTTCCTATGCCCCGCCTACTCAGCAATTTCTAAACAAAATAGACGGGTACCCAGATATCGATTTTAAGAGTAGGCAGATCTTCGCCGTCCCCTGGGTACCGATCCTACCGCAAAATAACACGTGGTGCGAAATTCGAGATGGCATCGAAATGCTCACACAGGTTGGTGGCAGTTTCCCATTTCTTAAGAAGGATTGAATCGTGTTTGCCCTCTTGGTGCCTTTAAACTGTTAAACATGTATTAAGTATAGATCCGCTATCTGGATAAGCGATCAGATTATTTTCCTGTATGAGTTCGACAAACATTTACACGTACTGAGCTGACCATGTGTACGGTAGTTGTGACTGTTCGCCATCGTAGATGCACTTGTGTTATCTAAAGTGTAGACATGTATTTCCGACACCTTCTGTTGGGCAAGACACTGTCACGATACTGGCAGGACCAGGACTTTGAACAGGGCCCAGCCTACATACTTGTACATGTAGGCCTATGTACATGACGTGTGTATGTGCATATACAGAGGATAGTTAGTAGAAGTGATTTGCAACGAGCAGGCAGTGGATGTTGGAACATGAAGGAATTACTGATAGCCAGCCTAGCCTAGGGCCTAACCATGCTAACAAGTAACATGCCTAACATTAATCAGTTTTACTTTTGTCAATTTGGGCACAATTGCAGAATACCCCGCCACTCACCTTACCCACCTCGTAGCCACGGAAACGCGGATATGGAGTCACACTTCCATCCACAAGGCCCATGGCCCACTTCGTATCCCCGGCCCCATATCCGCGTAGCTGCTCCCTGGGACCCGCATTGGACTTGGGAAAATTCTTCTGCCATGCCCATTCACTTTGTGTTGCAGTGCTTTGTTCTCAAGAATGACTTCAGTGCTGTACACAAGGCATACCTTGACACAGCAAACATAACCCGAAGTCAAACAACCTCCACTTGACTACGTAGGCGTGGATTTTTAGGGGGTGTTTTCGCGTGGCGGGGTATTCTGCAATTACCTCTCACTTTGTACTTGCAGTATCCAGTGGCAACTTTAACGAGAACTTATCAGCTGACGAACCAATAAATATGCACTGTGATGAGTGGGGGATGATTGGGACTGAGGAATTTTATCAGTTTATTTTTTCAAATCTTTCTTGCTGATGCTGTTTACCCAGGCTGTAGCAGTTTATGGAAAGAGTTCTGTATACACGTACCAATGCCATTTGACAGCCTGTGCACAAACCCTGTGTGATTTCAACTTGACCATTTTGACATGCTCCCCCAAATCCAAGTTCAACTGCTGCAAGTGTAAATTGTGCTAGGCCGAGATAAAAAAGCATACACTGCACTGCTGTATATCATAATCTTGTGAACTAGGGTGCATGTGACTGTGTGTGGAATGTAAACAAATACACTTTGGACCGGGCATACAGTATTAACCCTAACCTCACCGAAAGCTACATGTACATGTACAAAATATTACTTAGTAGTAAAATGTAGCATGTGGACTAGTGCTGTAGCTTATGAACACATGACCTTATTGATATTAATATTAAATGTGCATTTTCTTCACCATGTACTACTACTTTAAAATTGGCATGGGGGGGTCTGAGTGGTGCAAAAAATGGGGGATAAAATTAATAGGCACATAACCTCTTTTTAAATTAAGCATATAGAGCTGTATACTTGTACATGCTGTTGAGCTGCCCAGACCTTCATGTCTTTGGGACATTTCACACACACAGTGGAAGTCTTCGGGATAAATCTTGCTGCAGTCACATTCTGTCGTTCAGTGCCCTGTGCATTCAAAGTAATCCCAGACAGTTTCCTCTTCTTATAAACAACAGGAAGAAGATTGAGGACATGACAGCCGAGGAAATGATGGCTGCATCTGACTCGGACTCTGGGAGCGAATGGTCTAATCCTGAGGAAGATGTGGGAGAAGATGGTGACAAGAATGTGGAGGATGAGGAAGATGACGATGATGATGACAGTGAAGATGAGGAAGGTGATGTGGTAGAGGAGGATGAAGAAGAAGTGTTGGTGGGTGAAAAGGAATACGGCGGACCAGAGGAGACAACTATAGAGGGGTGAGCTGACATAGTGAATGCCCTGCACCCTGTCTTAACCCTAACCCCCTAGGCGTTTTTGCTAGACACTATCCTCAATCCTTGAAGTTCCTCTGAGTATCCATGCAAAAAAATTGCATTCAGCCTCACTCCTCGGAAATTCTCCAGTATTTCTTGTATGACGTGTATGCCCCCTGCCTCAGTCCTTCCAAATTTTGTTGAGACATAAAAATGGTATCCCAAATTTATTTTGTGTACAATCTAGATAATAATAATAATAACACATTTCTTATATAGCGCGTCACATAGCACATCTCGATGTGCTTCACAGTAATATTATGAAATAAAGCAATTAATGAAACAGGTGAGTTTTAAGTAGTGACTAGATATGCATTTATGTAGGGCTGTGCGTGACCAACACAAATTCTAACCCACAACTTTGACATCGTGTGTCCTTTGCAATCAGCCACACTTTATTGCCATTTTCCTCAACCTCCAAAATCACCCAGATTATTTTGGAAGACTGAGAAGGGATGGTCCAGGGTTAGTCCTAGCTGTCTCAAATCCCCTGTAATGCCACTAATTGTGTTTGCATTATTATGGTGGATTCTTCTGTTTTATCCATGACATGATGTCTCCCAAAGTACATGTAGACTGTATGTTTACAGTGGGTAATGTGCATTCTGAGGGCAGGATTTGATACCTAGAGAGTTAGCACTAACCTAATAAAAAATTTTAAAAATTCAGAAACAGGCTTTATCTCCATAACATACATGTACATGTACCAGGGCCGCTAGGCACTAGTGTTCCATAAGTCCACATCTCTGCAAGCACCAGCAACAGTTTCAAAGCCCTGATTAAGGCTAGAGCCCTGCTGAAGGCTGGAGCCCTGCTGTTCACGTTCATTCTAAAGCTGCACTGCTTGCTACTTTTAATACAGCTTTCCCAAAATCAAAATTTCAGAGATGGAGACGGGGGTTTAATTGGCCAACATTTTTAAATGCATTTAGTTTGTGTCCTTAGTGTCAGGTTAGTGTATGTACATACATGTATATGGATGCTTGTTTTATGACGTACATGTACCACAATGTATATCCTCACAGTTTTTGTCTGCCACTATTTTGTTATAGACTCAAAGCCTGTTGAGCTCAATAGCTCCAATCCATTGGATTCAGGAGGCTTTTCCTTAAGTAATGAAACTTCTCAATGTATGGGGTATGTCAAGAACTGTTGTCTTTGGAACTTGTGTTAAGTTTCTTAGCCGTTGAAGTTTCAACAGCAGGTTTTATCTTGCATTGTTTGGATGTTCTAAATGTTTGCCTTGGAAGTGAAATATCCAAATCTCTTGGTTACGAGTATCTTGTGTTCATAATCACAGGAAAAAGATGAGCAAACACAAGCAGTCTTTGGAGAAACTCAAGGAAACTGACCCAGAATTCTACAAATTCTTGCAAGAAAATGACCAGGAGCTGTTGGCCTTCGACGACTCCGATGACGAATTATCCAGCGACGAGGAAGGTGCTCTCCACGAACTGCCTGACAAACTGGAGGTGAGAAATTAGAAAGGATTTGCCAGAGGGAAGCACGGGTTGGCTTGATTAGCTCTGCCCGACAGTGATGTCGCGCTGGTAGAAAAAGTACTCCCTCGCCTGCTCCAAATACTGTACATGCCAAGTACATGTTTGTTTGTCGAGGTCAGGGCACTCACTTCAGGTTGATTGCAAATGCATGCTGTGTGTTGACTTCTATCCAGTTTCTTAGAGAGATGTTACTTAAATCGTGTACACAGTACACAGTGTCACAATGGAACTGTTGCCACTGGAAGTGGTGCAGAGGTTGCATATTAGCCAGTGGATGCTCAAAGTCAGTAGAGTGTGCACGCTTATGATGCAGTGATTGACAAGACTAATAGTAATAATAGCATTGTGCTTTGACAAATACATGTACATCCCAGCAACCTACTGAGAAGCATTTGCCCAAGTTGTGAAAGGACTTTTGATCAGTCTGCAAGGAGCAAAAACCTCAGAAGAAGTGATTCAGTTCTAAGTAGTTTGAAAAAATGTATTTCGGTTTTACGTACTGACCTTGGGGGAGTGGATAAACGGGGTGGAATTTTCAGGGGTATTGCCTGATTTCAGGATGTTTCCATCATATTATGTTTCCATCATTCTTATTTCCGGATTTTTCAAACAATCTTATGAAAACTGTAAAATCCTGTGCTTACCTCTGTGGTGGTTTTATGCATAAAACATACAGAACACAAGAAATGGGATTTTTAAGGGGTGTCCCCAGGCAAATACAATTTATGTACAATATAGTTGTACCATTTTATGTACCATGCACCTTTTCTGCTGTGGTTCCCTCAAAACCTCTGGTGATGGTGGATACTTCAAAGATGTTTCAACTTCCTCCAATCTCACCCCCACATTAAGCAACAAAGAAACCCATGTACAAACCGTTCTATGATAGGCCTACATTTCAAACTAAACTAGCCATCCCTCTGGAAAAAAAATTTGGAAGAATTTGCAAGAGTCAATAATGTTGTCAGGGCCCATGGCTTGCGTATTTTTATCAGTAAGGATAGTAGCTTATGACCTTTGCAAACTTTTTTTTTTAAAGTTTGTTTGTATTTTTGCAGGAGCAAGTTGATAGCGATGATGAGGATTACGTTGCTGGCGGCGACAGAATGAAGCCCCCAAAACGTGAGGGGAAGGATGTGACCCTGGCCATGGTGGATAAGTGGCGGCAACAACTTGAGGTGAATTTTGAGTGTTGCTTGTCCTAGCTGTGGTGCAGACAATCTGGAAAATAAATGCTGAATAAGAAAGTTTCTCTGATTATCCAGCATTGTGTACAATTATCAATCACATAAATAAGTAGGTTTTAGAACCCAATCTGTGATTCTTGTCAGCTTTTGATGGATTTAAGACTTGCCCATTCCTGGCCGTGTGACTTTACATGGAACTTTAAGTCTAATGACATGCACATTAGAGAGAAAAGAATGTTTATGGATTAGTTTTCTGGAAAATGCTATATTTTGGGAGATTGGGTGATCTGAGAAGTTGTCCAGGGGATAAAGAGCCAATGATTTGGGGCTTATGGCAGCCAGTGGTGGTTTCAGAGTACATGTTTTTGCATGTTTATGTAAATTGTTCTCTCTTTGTGTTGTGAAAGGCAAATTCATTGAACAGTTTCCAGGAGGTTGTTAAGGCGTTCAGGGCTGCCGTACAGCAGATATCGTCAGCTCAAGAAGGCAACAAGTACAGAGTGGAGGGCAGTGGAGGTAGGCTGGTTGTGTCTAAATTATGTGAAAAGAATCTCTGCTGATATGTTGCAATGTTATGGACCTCAAGTGCCAAGTTTGTGTCCTGAAGCATTGTTCATTTCACACAGTTGCAACTTGTCACAACATATTTGCATCTTATAACTTGTGTTTAATAAACATGCTCCAGTGTATTCTGACTCCCTAATGTGAATGTTGAAAGTTCTCAAATGGGAACGCTGAGTTCAGAGTGGGAAGTTTGTTTGTTTGTTTTGCATTTACAAGCCTTTTTATGGGAATGCCAGGTCTTCCCAGATGAGAACGCCTGCCATTCATAAATGGGAATTTTTGAACTGGTCTTTCTCAGAAGTATGCCTTCAGGAAAGGAAATTAGAAATTTCAATTGGACCAAGTTTCCAGGCATTTTCTTAGGAAGCTTAAGTATGATATTGTGGACTTTGTATGATGACAACACCCTTATATTTGCTCTACTTTGTAGTGTTCAATGCCGTCGTCAGTCTCTGCTTGAAGCATGTCCATCCTTCTTTGCAGAACATACTTCAGTTGGAGGACAAGCCAACAAAAAAGTGAGCTCTACTCAAGTAAAAATCCAGAGTTATATTTGAAAATATTCAAAAGCGATGTACATGTATAGAGAAATACATGTTTAGTAGAAAGGGTAACAGGCCAACAGTACAGTTCGTATGAGCTGGTTTCAACCAACATGACAATAAAGGTTTCCGTGCAGAACCTTATACAAAATTGTAGCTTACGGGTGTGCAGAAACAAACTGACGGGAGCTTAAGTAAAAAATACCTTGATGTCATATTGTCAGTAATGTCACAGTCCACATCTCATCACAGTTTATGCCTTCAGTGCCCATTCTTTCATCCAAGAGTTTTAAAATCCAGAAGTATACTTGCCAGCAAACTTCAGCTAGGCAGTTGTTGACATGTTGATGCTGTGTTATTTTCAACAGATACTGTCTCAAGTCTCCCCTCTGCTTTGGTTTAAAAAAATCTTGTTTTCTTCTTTTAAAATGTTTACAGACGAAATCTGCCTTCGTCTTCCAAACGGTGGAAGCAAGTCCAAGCTAGCGTCAAGTTTTATCTCACTGACATCATGAAGGTACAGACCACATCCTGAGGCATATTACTGTATTCCCTGTCTAATCTTCATTATGGAAAGTACTGGCTAAAGTTTTCCAGGATGGACCCGAGTTCAAATAAATATGTGTTAATGAGGTTTTTTCCTACCTCAATAAGATGGGAACATACATGTAAGCACCATCTTGTGCAAGTGTGCCCTGCTTCTGCAGTCCTGAAGCCATGAAAATGATGTGTGCGCTTGGCCTGTGAAAGGATAGGATTATGCTGAGGCATGGAGCTCTCTGTCACGTGTTTTTAGCACCTTGCTCAATGCAAGAAATGTAACCCAAAAAAGTACAGTGACAAGGTGACTGAGCATGCACCCTACTTTTAAGAGACAAGGAAGGTCACTGCACACTGAGGGCACACAAGACTGCCACAGAGCAAGATGACGTGGATGCACTGAGTACAGATCTGTGGCAGACATGGCATCCACTTATCCTCCAAGAACATCTCATTTTGCGTTTTTACCATTGAGGGCATAGACTTATGCAGAATCCATAACAAGCATTAACCCTAACTCCCTAGGGTGGGTGCAAAATAAAATTGGAGGATTCAGGACTGTTAGGGTTAAGGAGCGAGAAATTCTCTTTTCCGCTCATTTTAACTGGGTCCAATAAGGCGTGAGGTCAAAATACAGACGGTTTAGAAACAGTTGAACGGTTGGTGTTAATCCCCCTTCATTCTGTTCGTCTTTTGGTGTTGGACAGTTCAACGGTTTGAAAAGAACCGTCTGCCCTGGATTGTCTAGCTTCATGAGCACAGCCTTGGTTGTGAACAAAAGATCCTATTCAGGGAGAACTTCATTGGCCCTGGTCAGCCTTCCTGGGCTGGCCGTGAGGATTAGGGGTTAACACCTTGTGATAGGAAGACACAGAATCAACTGCATTCCAGGCTACAGACATTTATCTAGCTTCAGATACGTTTTGAGTGGGTATTTCATGACAAAAAGCGTCGCCCTAAGATAATTGTTTGTGTTTAAGTGTTTTTAGACTGGAAAATAAATGCGTTTATATGGGAGTGACGGGGAATGCCAAACACGGTTGCCTCATGTTACCGCCTGATCTATCGTCTATGAAAGGAAATATTCACGTAGAGGCAATTTGAGTTTATTTGGAACTTCTGTCTCGTGTACCATATTCTTTGAAGGTAATAAAAAAATGTCAAACTCCGCATCAAATAGTGCTGCAAGTATGTGTTCGGTCCAGACAGGGCTTGGACATTTTTTGCTGAACTTCGGATCGGTTGGGGTTCGGACATGTACTCACGTTTACAAGTACAATGCAACGTTGCTTGTTCTTGGTTGATTTCAGAGTGATTCTCACCACATGCTTTTTACAACCATCTCATGATGCGGGCCATTGTAAGTTTCAGTATGTTCACGCACGTGTGGAGCACGCCGTATAACTCGTTATCCATATTTCGTTGTGTTTGTTTTTTATTCAGTTTTCTTGTATTTTTGTATGTTTTCCCGCGTGCCATAAATAAAATGCCTTATTAAGGCCGTACATCCGAACCGAACAGTTTGGTTCGGTTCAAAAGTGCCTTGTTTGATGATTTTTGCCTCAGTTTGATGGTTCACCTGCAGCACTAGATTAAATTGTGTTATTGTTTTAATTTATTGTGCATTTAAGTTTAATAGGCAAAGTCAAACACCAGAGATAAGTAAAAAACCCGACATGTTTGTTTTTCCAACAAGAATTTTGTGCAGCCACAAAGTATTCAAAGAGTACACAAGAATCGTACGTACAAAACATATTGCAACGTGCACGCATGTACTATTGACTTCAAGAAAAAACATGTACTTGTATCCTTAAATCGTGCAGGTGCAGCTTCGAAGCAGAAAGCGCGTAGTTCGCATACGTGTCTTCCTCGATCCTACACATGAAAACCTGCGAGCGCGCAATGCTGAGTCCCAGCTTGTGCGCACGGGCAAAAAAAAAAGGTTTTATCTGTAACTACATGTTGGCGAACAGAACACTACGTCGTGTATGATTCAGGTAAATACTATTTCGAGTTAGTATATTCGATTCTGCAGGTATACAGTTAGGTGTGTATTTAACTCATGATACCGAGACAAAATATCAAGATTACAGGGTATTGAGACCTGAAAAGACTGGGTCTGGAAACTGACAGCACAACACAACTACTCAATACACATGTTTTATCAGGATGTTTAAAACAGTCTGCCGATCTAAATCCTCCTGTGGAGCTGCAAAGTAAAGAGCTATTGTTATGACTAATCCACCAGACCGCAGACGTTTATGATGCCGTAATGCGATGAGCTGTCCGTTGTTTACTGGAAGCTGCTGAGTGCAAGGTGTACTCGACCGCAGCGGTTTGGCCAGCCTCGCTGAAGCGTTCGTCTTTACGATGTTGACCGTCCGTGAGGCTTACCGTATACAAAGCGCTGGACGCTTTCAAAAGCGTTTGTATTTTGACCTCACGCCTAACCCGAGCAGGGCTAAATCCTTTAATTTCATGTGAGCTTTCACACCAAGGGAGTTAATACATGTGTGAACTCTTGCCTGTTGTTGATTGGAGCAGGCTTCAGGTTTGGGTGATCATTTCCCAAAAATGATTGTTAGATTCAATCCGTTCCAGCTGCTGAAGCAATTATCCGAGACCACCATTGTCTGTGTTGTGTTACGTCACATCCACCGCATGATCCCTTATTTCTGCTGCTATCCACGGTTGGCCAAGGACCTAGTTAAGGTGAGACAGTGATACCTGCTACTGTTGATATTCAAATGTAGCACAAGGAGGTAAGTCTTAACAAAACGAAAGCTTGAGAAGTTCTGTATACCCAGTGCAATCCACTGTGCACTGGGGCATGTGGAAACTTTATTTTCAAGTCAAAATGTTGAGGGTTTAGGGAAAAATTTCCATATATGGATATCACTTCGTTTTCCATGCGGTGACCTGTTAGCCATCTGAAAGCCTCAAAATGTCCTAGAATTTGGCGTCCGTACATAGAATACTGTCCAGGATTGATGTTATGAATGTATTCTAACTGTAACTTGTAGATGTGTCTCTGAATCTCAAAGCTGACAGACCTTATCATAGTATGGTGGATATTGTGTCAGAGGTTCAGATAAGTTGTGCAATATAGATGCTTAACCACTACCAGCCGGGGACTCCGAAATCGGAGCCCTATGGTTTATGTGTGTGGCCGGGGTCTCCGAACTCGGACAAAGGAAACAGGGCCCTGTAACAAAAGACCGTACTCCAAACAAAAGACCAGGCTGCTGGGCATTACCGGCATTTTTCACTCTCAAAAGTGGTGATAATCCAGTGTTATTTTGAAACCGTATACCAGGGTTTGGGGTATTTAGAGCAAGTGGATTACCACCGGGGACAAAAGCTCTCCGCCACCGAAGCGATGAGCCACACAGTACCGCTGCATGCTAATCTGGCCCCTATTGAAAAGAGGTCAGCAGTGCACTGAGCCAGGTTCGTGAAC